AGCAAACAGGGCCCTGCTGTGCTGCTGGACGCTGGTGGGTATAGAGAATCCAAATATGTGAGGAATCCCAGCTGGCCCAGGTTGGGTCCCTGACCTACACTGCCCCCCTGTGGTGGGTCTGGAGAAGCAGGTATGCTCTTGCAGTCTGGACAAGGTTTCTAACCTCTGGCTTCAGGGAGACTGAATTTCAAGGCTGTAGAGGACCCAGATCAAACCACTCAACTAAAGGGGAGAAACTAAGGCCCAGAAAAGGAAAGCAACTTGACCAAAACGATACAGCAGGCTTTCAAACATAGATCTGTGTTCGGAATTTCAACCCTATCAGTGATTTACAAGAATAATGATGATTATTTGGTTAATTGGTATTAATGCCAATTGGGGCATGCACCTGGTACACGAGGTGCCAAGAAGGTTTGTACAGATTTTATCTTGCTTGATTTCATGGTAACCCAGAGGTACACTACTCTTAATAGGTTGATGGGGAAACCGAGGCTAAAGCAGGGTGGTTTGCCCAAAGTCACATGGCTGCAGGTGAGATAGACAGGATTTATGCCCAAGAGACTGATTCTAACAGAAAGGGACTTCCTGCCACTAGTCACCGAGGGTCTGCACAGGGTGGATCAGCCTAGCTGGGGTCCTCAGGATAAAATAAAGTAGGATGCAAACTAGCAAGAGGGTAGCAGCATCAGCTTCAGACACGTAACCCAGCCCAAAGCACCAACCCAAAGCAGTGGAGGGGGGAAATATCACAGTTCAAAAGGGAGCTGAGCTGGTGTCCATGCTCCAGTGTGGAAATGACTCAGTGAGTCCTCCTGGGGGTATGTATCCTCCGAGGCACCCAAACATGCAAAAAGCAAAATGCAGGAGGCTTTTCACTTTTGCAGCTCACAACAACCAAAAACTGTAAATCACCCATGTGGCTAGCACCAGGAAAGGATTAAATAGACCACTCTATGTCCTGATGGTAGGATACAGTGTCGCAAAGGGGTCAAGGTCTTATATACCCGCACCTCAGATATATCCCACCCTCTAGACCCCATAATAAAGTGAAACTGCCATAGAGAGAGTCACACGAATTGTTTGGTTTCCCAGTGCATATAAAGTTATGTCTACACTATACTGTGGTCTATTAAGTGTAGTAGAGTATTATCTCTTTAAAAAGGCAGATTAAATGTGATGCGGAGCAGGAAAACAACACCAATAGAACTTGCAGGATGCAAGGATGCCACACATCTTCAATTTTTAAAAACACAGTATCTGAGAAGGACAACATATATATTCTAGGTGTATATTCTGTATATTCTACATGAAAAATGCAATCTGGGGCACGGTTTGTGTATGACTCCCTTAAAAAAAAAATCTAAAAGGAAAGGATTAAAAACAAAATTGTTAACTTTGGTCCCTCTACTTGAAGAGGATTTTCACTATATTTTATGGATTATTTTGGTTCTGATGAGCATGACCTATTAGCATCACTGCTGCTGTGTGTCCTTTCAGGGAGCCCATCTCAGGCTGCATCCGGGTGAAGTCATGTGCTACCTCCTTTACAGTGGGCTTGGCCAGCACAATTACGAGTTTGTTTTCAGCAAGCATGCCCATGGGCCTCCCCATGGGGCCCTTCAGACTTAGTGGCCAAAACAAGGTCATCCCTGTGGACAGAGACAAGTCTCCAGGACATAGGCACCATTTGCATTTCAGCCGGGCCTTCCTGGCATTTTCATGCGAAGGACTGCCCATAAGGGGAAGCACAAACCTCAAACGCAGCCCTGTCGCAAATCTGACCACCATGCGGCACACTCATGCTGCTCTCCTGTCTCAAACCACAGTTGGTCACCCATTCCCACATGGCCCCAGAGTTGAGCAAAGGCCATGTACTTAGAGTTAGCACTTATTTCCTCTTTCCAAATTTAACTCCTCTCTGGCTAGTCCTACTCCTGAAGCCCAGCCACCAGCACTGGGTTGCCAAACAGAGAAGGAGGAAGCTCCCAGGACAACAGGGTTCTCCTCAAATAACCAAGAAGATGAAGTGTGCGGTCAAACCTAGGAATTCTTAAGGCAGCTGTGCCACCACCTGTGGGATAGTCAGCCATTCTCTGGGTGTCAGTGTCTCCACCTGAAAATTAAGGAGGCTGGACTTTGTGATTGTGAAAATCCCTCCCATGCAGACAGCATCCTAGAAGCTCTTGTTCTTCCTTCAACTAGAGGACCCAAAAAACCAGGTCCTTGGAAAACTCACAGTCTAACAGAAGAGAGAAAACAGGAATAGCAAAATGACTGTACTGCACAAGTGCCAGGGTTCAGGACATGATTTGAAGTGACAAAATGTTCTGTATCATATTATCCCATTTTTTTTTAAAGATTTATTTATTTATTTATACAAGCACTGGGTACAGTCAGAAGCGCGGGAGGGTGAGAGAATTCACCAGAGCCAGAGCGGGGAGCAGAAGAGGCAGACTGACGAAGTACACTGCTGAGGGGAGCAGCGGGCGGCAGGAAAGGTCTTTGTGCCATGTGGGACCCTTGTCTGCGACCGGGGATCAAACCAGCACTGCAGAGGCTGCGGGCAGCTTTGCAGCCTGGTGCTCAACCGCTGCGCCACCAGGGGAGGCCCCATATTATCCCATTTTTAAAAGTGCAAAATGTGTAGATAAATCAGGAAAAAGGGGTCTGAAAGTATATGCATCCAATTGTGACTCCTCAGCATTGTGAATCTATGTGTGCTTTTTAAATATATTTTTACTTTTTAATGTTTTCTCACTTTCCACAAGGGAATTATTAATAGCATTTAAAAAAACATATTTTGTATTCAAACATATATTGTCTAACATGTTTTGTGACTTGGGCAGGTCACTGAGCCTCTCTAGGTCTCAGTTGCCTTACATTTAAAATAGAAAAATTTTTTTGAGGTAACATTGGTTTACAACACTCTAAATGATTCAGAGGTACAGGGTCAAACCTCTTCAGGTACACTTTACCATATCACACCCACTACTAAGGCCCCCATAATCCTCTACCATAGTTTATTGTGCCCCCTCCACACTTTACTCTCTATCCTTCCTTTCCCCCTCCCACTCTGGTAGCCTCAAATCTATAGTCAGATTTCTAGGTTTTGCTGTTGATTAGTTTTATCTGACCCTTTGTTTTGTTTCTCTATATTTCACATATAAGTGAAAACATTTGCTATCTCTCTTTCTCCTTCCTATTTATTTTACTTAGCATTTTCTCACCCAGTTCCATCCATGTTGTCACATATGGCAAAAGTTTATCTTTTATAGTTGCATAGTATTCCATTGTGTATATAGCCCATATCTTTTTCATCCATCTGTCATTGGGTGCTTAGGTTTTTCCATTACTTGACTATTGTAAGTAGTGTTGCAGAGAACAAAGGAGTGCTTATTTCCCTTTGAATTAGTGTTTTTCCATTCTTTGGTAAATACCTAGAAGTGGGACTGCTGAATCATATGGCAAGTCTATTTTTAATATTTTGAGAAACCTCCATATAGCTTTCCAGATGGTCTAGACCAATCTACATTCCCCCAATAGTGTGCGAGGATTTTTTTTCTAAAACAAATAGTTTTTAACTTCATATTAGCTTAAAATGGTTTTGGACTGAAAATTCTGAGGGATGAGGCAATCAAGTTTCTTGATACATAATACCTCATGACCCATTGGTCTCTGCCAGGCCTCTCTCATTTTATTGATGCACATCCTTTTATTCCCAGGCCCCACTCCCATTGCCATCTGTCTCCACCCTCAGATAACTCTTCTATATTTGACATGTATGTGAAAGTGTTTTGGAAAATGTACATACATGGTTGTTTGGTCTGCTGCTTAAATAGTGTTATGTTATAAATCTCATTCTCGTTCCTATTTTTTTTCATGATTTATTTAAGATCTTTTCACATTGCTATGAGGACATGTTGTCCAAGTCTCTAAATGCTACATAATCTCCATTCAGTGCCTGTAACCCACTCTGCCTCTCCATGATCCCCAGTAAGAGACACCTAGGTTTTCTCCAAATCCCTGACACTATAACACTGCCCTGAGCATGCTCACATATGTCTCCTTACAGACCTGGGTGAAAATTGTTTGACCTGTACCCTGAAGCAGAATCCCTGGGCCAGGCAAAGTGTGTAAGTTGACTTGGACCAAGGGATGCAATCTTCTCCAGAATGTCTGCCTACACTTGGCACTACCTAGCCTTCTCTTTTTTGCCAGTGTAACAGAGATATTTCTCTGTGCCTTTCATTTCATCTATTTCACTGCCTAGTTAGTATTTTTGAGCATCTTGTCATATGCTCATCATCCCTCCCACCCCACCCCCAGTTCCTGTTTGGTAAATTGCCTTTTCCTTTTCTTTCCCCAGACTTCCAGTCTTTTTCTTGTTGATTTGCAGGAGCTCCACACATATTCTAAAAGCCAGTCTCCTGGCTATCTTAGACATTGAAAACATCTCTTCTGGCTCTTATCTCCTGGTTTATCTTTTTGAATTGTTGTCATTTTTCTTCACCTCTAGGTCAAGAAAAGCCCTTTACATTGTCTCCTTTTACTTTTCAAGTTTACCTTCCTCGTGCCTTTAATAATCTCATATTTACCACAGAAATAATCGGCGTCTTCTTCCTGGCGTTTGGGGACGGATAAAATAATACAGACAAAGCGCCCAGCGCAGTGACTAACCCAAAAGAGGCGTGCACTCGTAGGTGACGACTGCTGTCACTTGGGTAGAGAGTGGTGAGCGTTGCCCCAGGAAATCTGTACAGGCTCTCAGATCCTGTTCAGATGGTGCAGGGAAAGTTACAGGTTGGCCCTAAACATGAATGCAGGGGTCCTTCCTGTCGAGCAGAAAGGCGAGCGAGCCTGGGCAAAGGCCCGGTGGCCAGAAAGGCTTCAGTGGTCCTTGTTAAGGCGGAGCAGCCGGGAGAGGTTTGACTACTCACAAACTGCTGTCTGTCTTTCTGCCCGTGCCCACCCCACCCCACCCCACCCCTGCCCCCCTGCAGGCTCCCTGTTCTCCACCCTGAAGCCCCCCGACGCCGTGTTCAAGGTGGTGTTCTGGCTGGGTTACTTCAACAGCTGCCTCAACCCCATCATCTACCCGTGCTCCAGCAAGGAGTTCAAGCGCGCCTTCCTGCGCATCCTGGGGTGCCAGTGCCGCGGCCGCAGGCGCCGTCGCCGCCGGCGCCGCCTGGGGGGCTGCGCCTACACCTACCGGCCGTGGACGCGCGGCGGCTCGCTGGAGCGCTCGCAGTCGCGCAAGGACTCGCTGGACGACAACGGCAGCTGCATGAGCGGCAGCCAGCGGACCCTGCCCTCCGCCTCGCCCAGCCCGGGCTACCTGGGCCGCGGGGCGCCGCCGCCGGTGGAGCTGTGCGCCTTCCCGGAGTGGAGAGCGCCCGGCGCGCTCCTGAGCCTGCCCGCGCCCGAGCCCCCCGGCCGCCGCGGCCGCCACGACTCGGGCCCGCTCTTCACCTTCCAGCTCCTGGCCGACCCCGAGAGCCCGAGCACCGACGGCGGCGCCGGCCACGGGGACTGCGAGGCGGCGGCCGACGTGGCCAACGGGCAGCCGGGCTTCAAAAGCAACATGCCCCTGGCGCCCGGGCACTTGTAGGGCCCCCAGCGCGCCGGCCTGACCCGGGGAGGAAATCCACGTGGGGGGAGGGCGGGAGGGGCGCGACGGCGCCCGCGGGGCGCGGGCCTCGAGGGATGGGGGGCGGGGGGCGGGGAGAGGGGCAGCTGCTTTTCTGGCAGGGGCATGGGTGCCAGGTACAGCGCAGAGAGCTGGGCCGAGCATGCTGAGAGCCTGGGGCACCCGCCCGGCCGGGGTTTCCGTCTCTCTCTCTGTACATAGCTACACGAGTTCCTCTGTACTTGTATTTAACCGTGGGTACACGTGCGTGTGTCTGTGCGGTGTACGTGTGTGCTGCATGTGCGCGTGTGTGGGCAGAGCGAGTGCGCGTCCGGGGGGCCGTGGGCGGGCTTGGTCCCGGGACTTCGGACCTCTCCAGCTCCTCCAGAGACTTCTCTAACCGGTGGCACTTTGGGCGGGGCTGGAAACCGAATCGGACATTAAAGGTCACTTCTCCTGTGCGGCTTGTAGTCATTTGTGAACGGAGCGGGAGGTGGATCTTGCGCTGCCTTCTCTTTCCACTTCAGCAGTTTCTCTTCGCAGTAGTCCTGCTGGACCCCCATTTCTGACTTGGCTTTTACTGCCCTCCAGGGCTGAACAAATCTTATCCAGGGGCTGAAAGTAATCTAGACTTGTGTAAATCCTGCTTGACTGTCACTGACCCAACTGCCAGAGGCAAAGGCAGTGTCTGGCCTGACCCAGACCTCCTAGGACCCCAATCTTAACTGAGACTTCAGGCCTCAAAGGGGCCTGTCACCTGAGAGAGGGTGGGACTGGGGGGGGGGCAGCAGGTGAAGGAAATTGGACCTCTACATCTCTAGGCCAAATGGCTCCATTGTTTGCAGGTGTCCAGGGGACCTGAAAAAGAAATGCAGACTGCAGAATGTTGTGGATAAGATACGGATCCATGCGTCTATGCAGCACACATGGGCACGAGAAGTCCCCTAAGCTCTGCCAACTGGTCAGCCTGCTGGGAAAGCAGCACTGAGGAAAAGCTCGCACACAGGTGCCACATACCTGGGAGAAGGTAACATCTGATCCAGTCTTAGTCCAGCTGCCTTTTTATTATGTAACCTGAAAAGGTATACCCCATCTCACCTCTTCCTCTTGTTAGGTTCCCATCTCTGTTATGACAGGATTGATTCTAAAGTCATTTCTGCCTTTAAAAACCTGTTTGCTCAAAGAATAAATAATGGGGAACAAGACAGGGAGCATTTTTCTTCCCTGAAATTCAAAACAAAGTATGAGAGGACCACCCCCACCTCTAGCCTTTTCTAGTTTTGCTTTTTCTAGGTTGAGCTTCATAATTTTACAAATGGCAGGAGTACCTCCCAATAATATTAGTACATCAGTCAATTATTCTTGGTCATTTATTCTATAGGTGACTGAAATAGAAAATGCTAAAGAGGGGAAGGACAGTTATCCATATAGCTGAATGGAATGTAGGTATCAGGTACAGCTGGATCCAGGAACTTAAACAATATTGTCAACTCATTCACAGGCTCTCACTCTTTTATGTAGTTCCCATCTTTTTAGCGCTCCTTATTGCTTATCTCTTTTATGTATGTCTTTGTTCCCTTTCTGCAAATAGATTTCTCACAACTTTCTTACAACCTGAATCTCCCTCCCCTTCAGAAAAGAAAATTATATTTCCCAGCAATTTTAAAGAAAAAAAAAATCCTGGGAAGCTAGAGGTTTTACATTGTTGATCCCTGTGGGGCTCATAAAAACTATAGATGCTCCTTCTGAAAAAATATACACTCAAAAACTTACATCATTTTCATGCAATTTGAAGGGGCTCACCCATACTTAAGAGCCCATGAATTAAGCATCATCACTTCAGAATTATCTAGGTCATCTTACAAGGTAAGAAGACTGAGGTAAAGGACATGACCAAGTCACACTGAACTAGGACATTTCAGGCAGGTCTGCTGCCTCCCCACCCACAACATTTTGTATTCCTTTCGGCTATGTCTTGGAGTTGAGTACCTCTTCAACAGGGACCAGGGCTCTTCTTGCCCCTCAAGAGAGAGGGAGTCCTAGGAAAAGAGTACCTGGACCTAATTCCCAAGAGAAAAGAAAGTTCAGGGCAGCCCTTTGAAAACATTAGCAACACAAATCTCTCATATCAGCCTTACAGACTCTGAGAGAAGCACAGCCCGAGAGCTGTGGCACCCTAAGGCTCCCCAGAATGAGGTTTGGAAATATCTGGTCTGGCACAGGTGCCTGGGGTTGCAGTCAATAGGACCATGGTTCCATGAGACCTTGAGCTCTTCCCTGCCTCTTGTGGTCCATTTCCCCATCTATCAACAGTCCATTTCCCCATCTATCAACAGAAGTGCAAAGGGCTCAATGAGGTGGGGTAGTGCAAAAAACGAGCCATGAATCACCAGGCAGATGCAGTCATAATTTGGCCCTCAGCTACATGAGACCACAGGCACCAGTGGCATTTCCTGAGCTGCTCAGCTCAGATGACCTCACACATCACTGGTGTTTGGAGATCACCCAAGCGGCACAGGGAGCCAGTGGCAGCCTCCAGCCTCTTTCCAAAAGAAAGATTGGCCAAGCAGTAGCTAATATGCCCAGAGGATACTGGGCTGCAGAGGTTCCTCAATACCCCTTGGGCAAACAAGTTCTCTCCCGTCTGACTGGGCCACTAACAGCAAAGCAGCCCTGCTTTATCCTCTCCAACCCTCTAGAACCTGCTGGGTCAAACAGGTCATCGAACTGAAAGGAAAAATGAAATTGAATCAAATTTGTAGAATGTCACTGGAATAGTGTCAAGGGAATCCTGGATGCTTCAGGGTGGTGTGCTCTGTGATGGGGAGTTGGAGGGGATCACAGCTGCCTGGGGAATGCATCTGCATTCAAGTCCCAGCTCTGCCACCTGAACCAGGTACCTGGCCTCTGGGAGACGCACTGCTTTGCATGTCAATAGAGCTTATGGTGATCCAGCCACACTGATTGAGCGGAGACAAAATGTGGAAGAACTTGGCCAATTAGCCCCATTTTTATTCCCTGGAGTGGCTTCGATACCCACACTTGTCAACATCCCTGCATCAGCTCCTTTAAGAATCCGCTGAAAGTAGAGAAAAACGAATGGAACAGTCCAAATTCTACCAACCATTCCTCCCCCACAAATCTCTCAATGGACACAAGGAACCCAGGTTATAAACTTCCCAGCAGATCTGACTTCCTGGACGCAGAAGTGGCCTATCCAGAATGTGCACACACAGGGGTGGAAGGTAAAAGCCACATCATGTACTCTACCTGGGGACAGGCAGCATGTCAGAGGGAAACTTGTTTGGTGTGACAGGATCCCATGGCCACCTTCCTCACTTAGGATGTAAAAGAAGACCCCGAGCCAAGCAGAGGGTCCCTACCTTGGGGGCACGGAGGTGATGGTTGATGGACCTTTGGAAGAAAGGTGATGGGTTGCAAAGGCCTGAGCATCCCTCCTTCAGTGAGGAACAGGGCTCAGCCTGGCTGCTGTCACCAAGAGGTCTCCACTGGCCAACAAAAAGTAGAGCAGCACCAAGCTCCATGGAGATCCAGGGTTGTCCCCTGCCTGGCTGGGCAGCAGAGGTGGATCATTATTTAGTCAGGCTGAGGCTGAGGAGAAGGGGTCTGTTCACCTGGCAGAATTTGCATCTTTCCATGTTTTTTTCCCATCTTGTACTGGACCTGCCTTCTGAAACTGAGGGGCCAAGAATTTGACACTCTTGGGGGGAGAAGCTTCCCCTAAAAAAACCTTCCCCTGAGCAAGAGGTGGCTCACCCAGGGCTGACTAGGTGAGGGTCAGGGTTATGTGAGCTAGGTTCCTGAAGTTTGGGTGTTGGGAGGTAAGGAGAGGTCTCAGAGGCACTCTCTGCTCCCCTGCCCTCTCCAGCCTTCCTTCCTTCTCTCTGACTCACACCTCAGGCCTTTTGCACGTACTGCCTCCTCTACCTGGAATCCCTTCCCCACATGCCTTCCTCCCTTCCATCTTTGAGAGCCCCTTCTCATGTCTTTTTTAACTCTGACCTTCCCACCAGGTTGGCTTTCTTGAGCCTCACCTTCCCACACTCTCAGAGCATCTAGCACAAATGATCGCGCTCTTTCTTATTTTTTATTTTTATTTTTTCCTTTTTTAAAAATCAAAGTGACACCGCACTCTAACATGGTATAAGTTTCAGGTGTGCATCATTGGAAATCAACATGTGTCTACACTATATCAGGTTTACCCATGAAAGTCCAGTTCTGTCCTTCACCATACGTTGTCCCTTTGTTCCCATTTATCCATCCCCCTCCCTTAATTTTTTTTAAGATTTATTTTATTTATTTATGCATACAAGAGCTGGGGTGCAGGCCAGGGGTGTGGGAAGTGAGAGGATTCACCAGAGACAGAGTGGGGAGCAGAACAAGTAGATTAACTGAAACACACTGCTGAGGGGAGCAGCAGGTGAGGCAGGAGAGGTCTCCTAAGCTATGTGGGTAGCTCCCTGGCTGGGGATCAAACTCTTGCTGCAGTGTCGGGAGATAGCTAGATAGTGCTGAGACTTAACCACTTGCGCCACCAGGGAGGCCCCCTTCCCTTATTTTTAAGCACTTCCTTTACTCAGCTCCAACCGTACTGATCTCTCCTCAGCACAGAAACTTCTCCATTCACCATCCTCTCAGGGTAGAGCCCCCTACCCCGTCAGTCCTTGGATTTTCTCTTCAGCCCACTCCTGTCTCCCCAAGGTGACAAATACCCAATTATGTCATCAGCCCAGGCCTTTCATCACATCTCAACCTCAACACCCCAATAATTTCCTGGTTTTCACACCCAGTCCCAATAAATGCACCACCATACACCTGATTGCATAAACCCAGACCCCACAGTCTCCTGGGCTTTTCTCCACCTCAGACTCCATGTCAGTCATCAAAAGTGATTGTTGCAAAATGTATCCTCATTTGAAAAATACATCCAGAATCATCCATTTCTCACCATCACCACCCTCTCCATCTAGCATTATCCCCTGGCCTCCAAGCACCCTCCCAGCTCCCAC